TATATAATGTTTTTTATATCTCTTTACTCTGTGAATATAAGAAATTCTTAGAAGAGAACTCTGTGACTCATCACTCTGTCTGTGAAGTACTAGAGAGTGAAAGAGAATATCAGATTAAAGAAATTATTAACTCAGAGAAGTGAGATTGTAAGCTCTGATTCAAGGTTCAGTGATAAGAGTATTCTGACAAGATGAATAAGTTCACTTAAGAATTATTCAGACAGATAAGATATCTGCAGAAGCTGAGACATGACTTTTATACTATGAATTTTAATAAGTCAGAATAATGTAATCTTCACTAAGAATCTGATTATAATAAAAATATTAATACTGTCATTTGTGAATTCTAGTCTATAAGATAATGAGTTTCTACTAAGATGAACAGTCTGCAGTGTATACAAGAGAAGAAGAAATTATATTCTTATTAAAGTTAAAAAAAAAAAAAAAAACAGAAAATAAACAGAACTGTGAACATAATTTAGAGATTAATAAAGAAAAAATAAAGAAAATCTATATTTATATTCTTAATACTTAAAACACTTAATCTCTTCACAACTATCAATTTTCTTCTTTAAAGAAGTAGAAAGTATTATATCTGTGATACAGATAATTGTTACATTTGATATAAAGACTGTCAGAAATGCACAGACTTCAGAGAAGTTGAATATCAGAGTATACACAGTTGTAGCAGAGTCTTGAAGACTGACTGTCTGTATATATAATCAGATATCTCTTATGAAACTGTATTCATTTCCTCAGTTATACTGAAGTATTCAGCCTGAAAACAATTGAGATGTGAAGAGAGAGCTTATCTACTCAGATCAACTTCTGTTATGAATTTATAACATTTACATTATCTTAATTATCTGGATTTTATGAATATCTGAAGACTTATCTCTCATTGACAATGAGATTGCAGAAATGTGCTGCAGTGCAAGAACTATTAATAGAGAATCTAGACATATTCATATATATCTGATCAGAGATTGTGTGAGCAGGAAGAGAGTGATTATAGGCCTGCAGAGCTGCAGAAGACACTGACAACACTGAGAGCTTTGTAAGAACTGTCAGCTAGAATCTGTAAGAAATTACTTATAAGAAGACTTACAGTAAAGAAAGGAACTGTGCTGCTTGAAGTCAGAAGCTGATCTGAGGAAGAAATGAGATGAGCTGCTGATCTGAAGATCAGGTGCAGTGACAGAGCTGAAAGAGATGAAGATGCAGTTATAAGTGATAACACCCCTGCTTCATCAGCTGATAAAAAGTGATCAGAGAAGTTGTAGAAACACTCATGAGAAGCTCAGCAGCAGTCAGACATTGTTTATAAAGATATTGAAATTTGAAAAAAAAAATTTTTATTCTTGAGAAGTTCTTGAATTAACATATAGATATTGTCAGAAACACTCTCTCTCTGTCATCTGAGTGAAAACACTTCACAGATGAATGAGAATACTCACAGTTTATAAGAATAAAAGCTGTTACAGAAAAAGAGAAAAGAAGATGAGATTCTGTGAACAGATCTGAGATATTTATACTACTCTAGAGAGATTTGCTTACACTGTGAGTGATTCTATGAAATAGTCAGATTACTCTAGTAAATAAGAGTGATTATAAATCACAGATCTGAATCTTTCTATATAACTATAAAAAGTGATTACAGACTGCAGATATCTTAATTCTACAATTCTACAGAGTTGATAAAAGAATGAAAAATTCCTCACAATTCTACAGTGTCAAAGAACAATGATTTATAAGAATGAGTGAAAGATTAACTTGTAAATACTTCTCTTTGATAAGAGTGATCTTACAGAGAGTGATTCATCTGTGAAATGAATCTGTGTAATAATCACATAAGAATCTTATGAAAATAATTGAGAGTCAACTGAAACTCTTCTATATAGAAGATGTGAGATGAATCTGTGTGATAATCACATAAGAATCTTGTGAAAATGATTGAGAGTCAACTGAAACTCTTCTGTATGAAAGATGTGAGATGAATCTGTGTAATAGTCAGAGAAGAATCTATAGATTACAAAGAATCTCACAGAATAAGAAACTGAGTGACAGACTCTTTTTTCTTTGTAATAATAAGAGATTTTTTCTCACTGAGGTTTTTTATAGATATGAAGAATTTTTAGTGAGTATCACTGCAGTGCTGAGCTGATTCTATGAAGTCACTCAGTGAAAGACTTCATGAATGAAGTCTTAGAGAGAGAGAAGTATGTAAGAAATCTCACTTCTCACAGATTCTTTATCTCTATTTCTATCTCTTGTATAATTAATAGAGCTAGCAGCTCTTGACTACATACAACTATATAGACTGGAGTTCATGAATACTATTCACAACTCAGCTTGAATACTATTATATATTTAATCTCTACATTTTATCTTTCTACTGTGAATACTTCTAGTAGTTAACAGTACATATCACGCCAAGCTGCAAACACCCGAATAATCGCCTGCGAGCACTTATTCTTACATCAACACATCTTCAACATTAACAAAGATTTACAGGTGTCAGAGAGAGATCTCATTATTTTCTTTTAAAGCTTGAACAGATGTTCAATCTTCTGCTCATTGAATATGCAGATGAGAATGTAAGATGTATAAGAAGAATCTGAAGATTATTAATAAGCTTGCAGATAGAACTGATGATAAGTAATAATAATTAGTTAAATATTAAGAACTGTACTAATATCATATCTGAGACTCTGTAACCTGAAAGCTTGAAATTGCAAGAGATGTTATTTTTAATGAAGAATTGACAACAGAAGAAGCACTGACAAATGTCATTAGAGAAGCAGTCAAACTGTCAGAGAAATTGAATATTCTTGACACTATAAAGAAATGACAACACTGCCTTCTAAGAAGACTTATAAAGAATAAACCTGATGTTTTAAAAATGCTTACTGATGATGATATGAACAGTATACTGAAACTGACCTATCTTCTAGATAATGAGACACAGCTTGTTATGAATGAAGAGTTCAAAGACTCTGTTAATAAGAATGATTCTGTTCTAAGTGTTCTGACAGACTGATTAACTACACTGACAGAAGTCAAGAGAAGCTCAGACTGAGACTATTAATATAAGACAATGAAAAAGAAGATTAAAATATTTGAATAAAAGAAGATATATATTGTTGTTAAGAAGACTCTGAAAATGAACATTCTTATAGATAAATGAGTGCACAATCAGAAATTTAATAATAAGAGTGAAATTATTCAGTTTAGAGCTCATTGAGTGATTAGAGAATTTCTACAATAATAAGATATTTATTATAATAAGTTATATACAGCAGTGATGTCTGAATCTACATCACAGAGCTTATTCACTATATTAATAGCAAGAGATTGAAAAGTCAGATCAATTGACTATGTATCTGCATTTTTGAATAAGATATTATCTCAGAACAAGATAATATTTATACAACTACTCACAGAGATTAAGCACAGTCATGATGAATTGATAGAGCTTGTACATCAGAGCTTATACAGAATGAAACAGACAGTAAGAATATAATATTTTCTTATAACAGAATACTTGATAAATCTAGAATTCAAGATCTTATTTTATAACAGTGAATTTCTTTATCATTCAATTTGTAAGTTATTCTTGACACTATATATTAATAACTGTCAAATCACAGAGTCTGAAGAGAGTGAAATTGAGTGAATTTTAATGAAAATCAGAAAAAGATTCAAGATAAAAGAAGTCAAACAGGATAAATCTTACCTGAAGATGAAGATTAAATACTAGAGAAATAATGATCTAGCAGTTATACAGAGCTGTTATATTGAGAAGATTCTTGAAGATTTCAGTATGAATAAGATGAATTCTGTGAGAATCTCTATGATAACAGGTATATAACTGGAATTTTCACCTGATAAGAATGATGAATTGAATGATAACTTTACAGCTATAAGATATCATCAAGAATTGAAATCATTGCAGTATTTGATCTCAAGTAGCTGATCAGACCTAGTATTCACAGTTAACTATCTCTTACATTTTAACTCATATTCACACAAAGCATGTTGAGCAGTGTTGAAGCATGTTCTACATTATGTCAAGAAGATGAAAAATCATAGCATATTGTATAAGAAGGAGATAGAAGATGACCTGAGTTCTATAATATACTGTGATTCAGACTGAGCAGAGGCAGATTCTCAATACAAATTGACTACTGACTATGTTATATTGATGAACAGGTCATCAATCTCATGGCAGTTGCAGAGACAGACATCTATTATCAAATCAATCACAGAAGCTGAATATATTACAGCTAGTGAGACAGCTTGTGAGATAATCTGATTGAATGATATGTTATATGATGCTGAGTTGATGAATGATGGAAAAGTGAAAATATACTCACATCTATGAGTTGACAATAAGGAAGCAATTGATCTAGCAAAGAGGGAATTCTTAACATGAAGATCGCGCCACATCAAGATTAGATATCATATTCTTCACAATTTGATTGGAAAAGGGGAGATCATGATGAAACATGTTGATTCTACAGCAAACATAGCTGATGGGCTCACCAAGCCACTGGCGAAGCCTGCATTTGAAGAATTTGTCAAAAGGATTGACATTCAGGAAATTGAGAAGGAATGATTGAATGGTAATGATGATACAGCGAATCAATGGATTTTGCATGTATTTCTTGATTTTTACAGTTATTGCTGTACGGACGCCTTTCCTAATGAGGAAATCAGGGTCTGATTCATGTAATTAATTATTATTGCATTTTTGAAAGATTTGAGGATGAGGGAGGCCCCGGGTGGCGGCTTATTATAGGCCACGGTGTAGCAAGGGGGGGTGTTGGTGATTACTACACCTACCCTAGTCACGTGCCACCCCAACCTATCCATTTAGTGTAACTCGCGTAGTTAGATTACAACACAACACAACAACGTTATCCTCCAAGAGGTGTGACTGGCTGAATGACTAACCAGGACCAACTTCGCCTTCCACCCAAGCCTCGTTCTGGCAAGGCGGCTCCAAGTGACAAGGTTGGTTAATTAATACTTAAACTCCCAACCCAACCCAACCGCCCTCTTTCCTTCTTCCTCCCTCTTCTTCTTCCCATCTTCTTCATCCATCACATCATAATCATCATCATCAACCTGTCTGTCCTGTCTGTCCGTGACACCTCTCCTCCTCCCAACGTTTCATCGTTTCATCGATCGGTTCTCTGTCCTCATCTTCCACTTGCCTTGCCTTCTCCTTTGGCATTCTCTCTTGAGTTGTTGCAATACGCCACAAACCCCGCTCTTCGGTCTGCCACTGAGTCACCATCATATCTTTGAATCTCTCTCAACGTTTCAAAGTCCGCCACCATGCAGATTTTTGTAAAGACTCGTAAGTTCATCCACTCCAGGACTGTTGCTGCCTCCAAGATCCATTTCAACGTAAAACAGTCTGCTAACATACCGCTCTTTTTTTTTTTCCCTTGCCTATAGTCACCGGAAAGACCATCACACTCGATGTTGAGTCTGGTGATACGATCGACGCGGTGAAGTCTAAGATTCAAGACAAGGAGGGCATCCCTCCCGATCAGCAACGTCTTATCTTCGCCGGCAAGCAGCTGGAAGACGGCCGTACTCTTTCTGATTACAATATCCAGAAGGAGTCTACTCTTCACTTGGTTCTCCGTCTCCGTGGAGGAATGCAAATCTGTATGTCTTTTGAACAAGTCCTCTCCTAAATTGACATGTTCTACGTGAGAGAAAACCAGGCGCTAACATATACCCTGCAAACAGTCGTCAAAACTCTTACCGGGAAGACCATTACATTGGAGGTGGAATCTTCTGATACCATCGACAATGTAAAGAGTAAAATCCAGGACAAAGAAGGCATCCCCCCAGATCAGCAACGCCTGATCTTCGCTGGAAAGCAACTGGAGGATGGCCGCACCTTGTCTGATTATAATATTCAAAAGGAATCGACCCTCCATCTTGTCCTTCGTCTCCGTGGTGGAATGCAGATCTTCGTTAAGACCCTGACCGGCAAAACTATTACCTTGGAAGTCGAGAGCTCAGATACCATTGACAACGTTAAAAGCAAAATCCAAGATAAAGAGGGTATCCCACCAGACCAGCAACGACTCATCTTTGCCGGGAAACAGCTCGAGGATGGCCGAACACTCTCGGATTATAATATCCAAAAGGAATCCACACTCCACCTTGTCCTCCGTCTTCGTGGCGGTATGCAGATTTTCGTTAAGACCCTGACCGGCAAAACTATTACCTTGGAAGTCGAGAGCTCAGATACCATCGACAACGTTAAAAGCAAAATCCAAGATAAAGAGGGTATCCCACCAGACCAGCAACGACTCATCTTTGCCGGGAAACAGCTCGAGGATGGCCGAACACTCTCAGATTATAATATCCAAAAGGAATCCACACTCCACCTTGTCCTCCGTCTTCGTGGCGGTATGCAGATTTTCGTGAAAACCCTGACCGGCAAAACCATCACACTCGAAGTTGAGAGCTCCGATACCATTGACAATGTAAAAAGCAAAATTCAAGATAAGGAAGGTATCCCCCCAGACCAGCAGCGTCTCATCTTTGCTGGTAAGCAGCTGGAAGATGGTCGGACACTCTCTGACTACAACATTCAAAAGGAGAGTACTCTCCATTTGGTGTTGAGATTGCGGGGTGGCCAATAAATACATCAACCCTTTGGCTTTTATTTTGCTGCTTGGGTGTTTTCTTGTTTTTTTTTTCTTTTCCTACGGCTGGAGGAAATACAATCACCGGCTTGGCGTCTTTGGGCAAGGGGGATGGATTCTTTTTATGACCTATTTTCTTCTATCACAATTACGACATGGCATGCATTCATTTACACTCCGCTAGCTAGCTCCAACACATACACTACCTAGGTACTTCTTGTGCTCAAACTACTCTTCAAAATAGAAGACTCGTACAATACTTTTTTTTTGACTGGATTCGTTCTCACTTTTTTTCCGTAGAAAAAATATAGCGATAGCTGGGATTTTAACTTGTAGTTGCCACCTATGTTCTTGTATCAGATCGGTGGCAACCGGCCCTGGAGGCCTGCCTAATTAACTAAGGATGGATAGTTAAACTAATTAAGCGATTTCCGCGAGCTTCCAGCGTTTGGCGGTGACTCAGCACTGCCAAGGTTTGCGTCATCAATCACGTGATATCTCGCATGGCTTCCAACGTCATTGAGCTTGGGAGTTTCATCATCATCTTTGTAACAATCAGACATTGACGAACGAAGACGACTCCCGACAACGAAAAAAATAAAGTCTACACCACTATCCGTCATATCGAAAGCCTTAATTAAATAATACAAAGGACACTCCTCTCCTGCCGTGATGGGTGAAAGATAAATTTTTATTTCATCCCCACCCGCATTTCCCTTTTTTTTTGAAAAAAAAAAAATAATATCATTCAGCTCGGGATGCCCACATACTTCTACCATATCCTCCTGGAATTGTTGGTAGCTGGTGGTGGTGATAATCTTAAGCATAATAATATTATTACTCCGACGCCGGCAGACGACGAGTCCGTCCGCGTTAACAACAAAAACAGCTCACATACCTCTCCTTCGTCATCGTCGCCGTCATCACCGTCCTGCCTGCATTCACGTTCGCATTCACAGGCGCGTTTACATTCTTCTTCTCAGCCACGACGCCTCCTCGATCGATTAGATAACGATAACAACTTCGCGCTGCAGGCTTTCTGTGACGCGTTGCAACCTTTCCGCAACAACAACAACAACAACAATAATAATAATACTAATACTAATAATAAGAGGAGGACCAGAGGTGCGGCTGGCAAGGCGTCAAGAGGCGGTGATAATTTGAATAGCCATCATAACCATTTGAAGAGGAAGGACGTTAGGAGCAATCATTGCAACGGGAATAGCAGCGGTGGGAAGATTTATAGGGATCTTGTTGTTCTTGGTGGTGGTAGTGAAAGTTGTGGTGACGGTGGTGAGTTTCATTTACTTTCAGTTCTTGGGTTTTCCTTTCGTTTTTCGTTTTCCTTTTCCGAAATCCCTGTTACCGGTTGGCTGTTATTGTTATGTGTTTCATTGTGAAAGTTCGGAGGGGAATGTTGGTTGTGAAATGAATGGACTAACTAACTGAGCGGACAATGTTTTCCCTTATTATGAAATAAAGTAGGCAAAGATCCGAACGGACTCCGTCAATGTCGAGTGTCGTCTGGAACTTTTTCTACATCTACTCCTCCTACGGCTACAAATATATCTACAACTACAGCTACAGCCACACCCCCCTCTGTTCAGCCCGAGACAGCTGGCATTCATCACCAACCGCAAATACATGAGTCGCATACCTACTCCGCATCTACGAGTACTACTACCACCTCTTCTTCCAGAATTACAAACGACAAACGCCTAGATCAAATTTCCATCCAGAGCATCGACATGGTTGTGCCACCGCAAAATCAAAACCAGCAACCCCAGCTCCAGAGCCCGCGGCAGACACCCACGGTCACGAACCAACAGCCCCAACAACTTTCTAACAAAGGGAGCAGTCCAAACAACAACCAGATAGCCAAGGGCATTGGCACAAGCGTTATCGGCGGCCTAGCGACGAAGGGCAAATATGTCCCGCTCGACCAGAAAGTCTCAGATAGCGCGTGGGGTATTGTACATTTATACCGTGATGCCGATGAGACCTCCGCACTCTATAGGGACGACGATGACCCGTCGTTTCTGAAAGGGTCAGCGCTGACACGGAGTGCGATGCTTGATGGTAATTCCAGCAACAGCCTTGGCAGGAGATATGGCAGTGATGATGTGGAAACTGGCAGTGGGTCTGGAAAATCCGGATCGTTAGCAACCGCACCAGCAACAGCAACAGCAGCAGCAGGCGTCCAATCTGTGGAGGATTGTACGACTTTATGTATCCTCGCGGTGCCGTCATACATGTCTCCGTCGGACTTCTTGGGATTTGTGGGTGAGCAGACGAGGGATGAGGTTAGCCATTTTCGAATGATTAGGACGGCGCGGGCGAATCGGTATATGGTTCTAATGAAGTTTCGGAGTGGGAAGAGGGCGAAGGAATGGCAGCGAGATTGGAATGGGAAGGTGTTTAATTCCATGGAGGTGAGTTTGTTCTCTTTTGTTTCTTTCTTTCTGTTGTTTGGTGGTGGCTGGAAAGCCATTTTCTTGAATCCGGATTGTTGCTGATGATTGACTCTTTCACATGTTTATAGCCTGAAACTTGTCATGTTGTATTTGTGAAAACTGTCGAGATTCAGGTGGAGGCACCGGGGACAGAGAGCAAGTTTCCGGATATGAATAATGACCCCTTTACGCCCGCAACAACGAATCATGCCCTAATTTCCTCACCATCCTCCCCCGCTCAATCGGGTACCCTCTCATCGACTTCCTTATCTACGAAACCATTGGCACCTCCAACGCCATCGCTAATAGAGTTACCAAGAA